AGAGATTTTTTGGAGTGAAGAATTTTGTTTGTGTGTTTGTATCTTCACGTGTGTTTTTGTCTTAGGTTTTCTTGTGAGCCAAGTAATTATCACCTAGATGATTGTAATGGACTAGTGTGGTTTTTTGAGTTGTGTTTTGGTTGTGTCACTCTAAACTTTTAAGCACGAGTGCTATGTCTCTTGATTGAAGCTTTTAAGCAAGATCAAGATTTGTTTGGAGTGTGTCTTCCTTTTGAATCTGTTTGTTATTTGATTGATATCACTGTTGTGATTGAGGGGGAGTGAGTAGGAACTCAGCTCTAGAGTTAGATTGAAATTGCATTGGGTAGGTCTTAAGTGAAGAGTGCAAACAGATAGTTTAGCTCTGAATTAACACTGCTTATAATGGATTTCCTCCCTGGCTTGGTAGCCCCCAGAGTAGGTATGGTTTGCACCAAACTGGGTAAACAATTTTCTGTGTTCTTTACTGTTTTCATTACTTGTTTACTGCTAAGTTTAATAATCTGTTCAGAAGTGGATGTCATAACATCCGATATAACATCGATTGTCTGTTACTAGAATTTCAATCCTATATAACATCAACTGTCTGTTACTAGAATTTCAGAATTTTAATTAAATGTGAAAGTTTTTTTTAAAGAAAATTTCAAAAAAAAGAAAGAAATATAAGACTAATTTTTTTAGAAGATGAAAAGATCAGGTATAATAAATTAATAATATTTAAATAATTTTTATAATTTATTAACGGATATGGATATTCGCGATCAAGGATATCATTAAACCTATATCCATATCCATTAATAAACAAATATTTAAATATCTATTTATTTTATTTATAAATATCCATTAAATCATCCGCCTCGTACCTGTAACAGATTTTATTCGCGAGCATGAATTTTTTTACCATGTCTAGTCGATTCTGTAGGGAGTTTAAAGAATGATTTTCTCTCTTTTTACTTTTATTTTTTGTATTTGTTAAATTGCCATAATATTGACGCTGTGTTATACTAAAACACATTTTATAAGTCGATAAGAGGGATTTTTACTTACCACAAGTTTGAAAAGGAAACACCAAAATGTCACTAATTATAAATAATATCTCAAAATGCCACTGAACTAATAAGAGTTCATCCAATTAATAGTCGAGTTGTAAAAAATTTTACACTTCTTCATGAGTTTGTTTATACATTGGTCGAGCTCGAGTCCTTGAATAATATTTATTTTTTTTCCGTTTTTTTAATATTGCCTATTTTTTATCACTTTTTTGTTTAAAAAAATTATTGATTAAATTGTTTAAAAATGATTTTTAAATTTTAAAAATGGTTTTTATATTTTAAATAATAATAATAATAAATATTTTAATTTTCTTATTATTTGGATATTTTAACAAATATATATTTTTTTAATTGTATGTAATATATCCTCTTATATAATATTTAACACTTAATTAATTAATTAGTTAATATTATTATTGTATTAAATAATATGTAACAAACAACAATTTTATTAATATTAATAAAAAGATATGATACCTCAAGTGGATTTAAATAAATGGCCGCTCGTTCTACACAATGTACCTTTTTTTGAGCTCCCCCTACCTAAGTCTTAGGTTTGCTCTCTTTGAGGAGATGAGGTAGAGTCGGAAGACAACTCTTCATTTTGATGTGATGCATTGACAATCATGTCCATATCCACATTAGCAACAGAAAATCCTGGTCACTCCATGAGCTGATCATCGGTGAGGTTAAAGTTGGGGACTGGTTGTGTAGATGAGTTGAAGGTGGCTGGAGGGCTATGTTGAATGGGAGGACAATAAACATCTTCAGTGTGATATGTAGAAGTGGGTTGAGAGAGTGAAGGGTTAAATGTTTTTTTGTTTAGATTGGGGGGTATGAATTATCAAAGTTAGGTTGAGGAATTGGAGTGAATTGTATGAATGGTCGAAGTGTGATTTATTGTTGGTGGAAGTAGTAGTTAGTTTGAGGGGTTAAGGTGTCAAGTATTGGTTTTTGAGATGAGGTGGCATATAATGTGTGTTGTTGTGTGGTTTGGGTGTGATGATATGTTTGTTGGGGTAGTGTGATTTTTGTGTGTTGGGGGAATGAAGATGTTTGGGATTGAAATTGTGATGGGTTCATTTGCGGAATTTCTTGATGTATGGGCGACAAGGTTGTTTGTTGAGTTGAAGAAGAGGCATATTAACGGGGGGTCATCTAGAAATTGTGCTTGAGAAGCATGCATAAATGGGATTTATCTAAACCATTAAATATATGTAACGCTATGCACATAGTCGCCATTTACCATGTTTTCATTCAATGTCAAATGTCTTCTATTTTTCACTCGTTATTCTCATCTTTATTCAGATTGCGCCAATGATCTCCCCATGTATTGGACATTTCCGTTTCATAATGTTCAACTAGATATCTTGGCTGAGTAGGGATTTCTTTTTCATACCCAAACTGAAATTTGACCATATTAGCTTGATGCATCCAACAATATGAAAATAGATTATTGATGTCGTCACACTCCAAACTCGCCTATCATCAAGAACACAAGGTAGGTAGTTCGGGTATGGCCTCCAAATAAACTGTTACACAAAATTTAATAGCCAGAGTGCAAATACATATCTAAAAAAATATTTAGAGATTATAGGGTAACAAACTTACATCGTTCGACATCAGTCTATCTAGTGCGAATCGATATCCACGTAGATGAAAATGAGGGTTGTTTTGGTAAGTCATTCCTCGTTGAGCATAGTTTACAATTTTAAAATAAAGAAATGTAAAAAAAATATCGGTATAAATTTATATGCGTATAAAATAGTGCAAGTATAAATTATATTTACCTTATTCCATATAGCTAAGATAACACCACAGAACTATCAGGAGCAATTAATGGTATATGCTAGTATACCTAAACAGTGAGTAGGAGAACACATCCTCCAATACATTTTACTCCTACTTGCATGCTTTACACATATGTCTAAATAATGTAACTAAACAAGCAGAACCCAACTATATCTACCGTATTAATTTGAATCTCCTACTAAAGGTATCCAAGAAGAATATAATAAATTATGACTCTTGTCTGGAATTAAAAAATTTCCTACAAGGAGTAAAATATAAATTTTTGTATGAAGAATGTTATCCTCTTCGGTTGGTACAACCTTTTGTTTTAATTCTTCTAATATACTTTGTAGCCACACAATTTTAACAGAAGCTTTAACTTTATCCGAAGTCGAAGGTTCCACACCTAAATATTTCATATGTACATCATTGCCTACTTGAATAGGATAATTAGCAGCCCTACCGTTTACACGGAGACCAAACAACATACTTACATCTTTCAGCATGATGGCACATTCATCAGTTGGATGATGAAATATATGTGTTTCCGGTATCCATCTTTCTAACAAAGCAATAACAAGTTCTGAGTCAACCTTTATACTGCTTATTTTTGCCACATTTGCAAACCCGGCTCGTTCCAAATACAATATTATTATCGGACTTGGTGCATTGATAGAATGCGAATGAAGTCTAAATCCATTTTCGACTTGTGACAAATATAGAAAAAATCAATATGATTATCAACAAAAATAATGAAGTCTAAATATATAACAATATCATATAAAAATAATTAAGTACGATATAAAAATCTTACGAATGGAGAAATGTTTTTCGGTGTTCCCCATTGTTTTTCTCCCATTCACAACAATGCCATTTTATATACTTAAACTACTGATGAAGAATATAATTTTCAAACTATTGATGTAAAAGTGTATTAATGATGAAGACCCATGTACAACAATGGAATTTATAGAGGTTCTAACTGACTTTATTTTTTAGAGCATGCAATTAACCTTTGGACAAATTGGTGTAATTCCACAACTACCTCTGCATGTTATACTAGCTGCAAGATTCCATTATGCATGCGAGCTACAAGACACGACCAAAAACTGCCCCAATAATAGCCTGGCCATGCGTTGGGTGTAATGCCCCAGACTATTTTCAGGATTATCGACTAATCCCATAAACCAACACAGGTCTTTTCAGCATGCTTTGTCCTCACTGACACGCATTCCGGGAAACTTCCTAGAAGGTCACCCATTCCTAAATTGCTCTAAGTCAAGCACGTTTAACTGTGGAGTTCTTATGGAACGGACTACCGAAAAGAAGATGCATCTTGTTGGTATAGGTAGTACCAATTAATCCTTATAAGTCTTCCTTCAAACATGCAGTCTCATACCTGTATAACCTTAGGATCCCTCTCATTCCGATGTGACTTCGGTTTTCCCAAGAAGCTGCTACGAGTGTCTCATTGTCATGCCTCATGCACCGACAACTACTCCCTCGCCAAGCTGCTAGGAGTGTCTCATTGTCATGCCTCGTGCACCAACAACCACCCCATCGTCCTCGGGTGTTACATTGGGCGAGCTAACACTGCCCCAATAGAAGCTCGATCATGCATTAGGCGAGCCTATTGGGAAACTATAGAAGTACGACCATTGGTTGGCCGAGCCAACACGATTATGCACCCACTTATATTCATTACATGCAATCTGCTATGACATTCATCTTCTACAATCTTACTTTTCACAGATATATTATAACAATGACTGAGAGAAATACACATGTAACCATGCACTACAATGGTTCTATTTTCACTGATCTTAAATTCGAATTCTCATTCAACAATACATAAACTATGATGTTCAAACTTCATCGTAATTCTGATTTTCACCATCTGATAGAACGCATCGAAGCTAAGCGCAAGGTTCTGTTCTTGAAATTATCTACCGACTACCATTACTTAATGAATATGATGGTAATGTCTTTTACGTTATGAAGCAGATAGAAACCGACGATTCAGTTAAATTAATGTTTCGGTGTGACACCACATTTGCTCAACTGAACACGATTGAGTTATATGTTCTCCTTGATGGCGAAGCATATTCGACGCTCAAATCATATATGACGCAATCATCGCATTCACATAAGTACAGAATGAGCCAATCCACTGATGAAGAACTTATGCAAAATAATGAACCTTTCATATTGAATGAAGAGGTTAGCGAATATAGTGAAGATGAACTACATGAGGTCCATCTTGAAGATCTTTTCGGTTCCAGTGTTGATAAGCACAATGAGGATCTCGTCACCATGCCTTCCCAAATAACATATGCTCAACCGATTAATTTGTATAATCCACCGGTTCACATGTCAAACATATGTTTGGAGGCTTCTCAACCTATCTCTATTTTTGTGAACTACACACCAAACCATATTGGTGACAACTTAGAGATAGGAATGAGGTTTTAAAGTAAGGAGGCGTGTGTTCTTGCATTGCAACATATGTATATAACTAAAAATCTTAACTATGGAGTGTATAAATCCGATTATGAGAGATATATAATCAAATGTAAGAATCCACAATGCAAATTTAAATGTAGAGTTTCACTGTCTAAGAAGAGCTTAATATGGGAGATTGCTATGATAAGTGGATCCCACACTTACACAACGTCTTCTATGTCACAAGATCATAGAAAACTTGATTAAGAAATTACTAACCAAAACATCAGGGATCTCGTTAACAATGACACTTCACTTAAAGTTAAAGTGATTATCGCCATATTGCTAAAAAATACGCGTATAGGATATCTTATAGGAAAACATGGATTGTGAAGATTAAGGCCATAGAATCACTATATGGGAATTGGGAGGTGTCTTACAATGACCTGCCACAATGGTTGTTGGTAATGAGAACTATCTTCCTTGCACCATTATAGAGTTGTAAACATTGCCTGCATTTTCAGACAATGAAACCCAATTAGATGACAGAAGGATATTTCATAGTCTTTTTTGGGAAGTTCGACCATGTATTTGTGGTTTCGCTTATTGTAAGCTTGTTGTGCAAGTTGATGGAACATGTTTGTACGAAAATTACATAAGGACTTTATTGATGGCTATGGCACAAGATGGGAACATTAAAATTTTCCCAATAGCATTCACATTAGTTGAAGGTGAGACAAAGGATGTTTGGAGTTTCTTTCTTAGGAATTTGAGAATGCACATGAAACCCCAGGCCTATCTGTGTCTCATATCTGACCGACATTCATCGATCAAGAGTGCATATGATGTTCCTAAAAATGGATGGTAATACTCTCCATCTTCACATGTTTACTGCATCAGACACATTGCGCAAAACTTCATGCGTGAGCTCAGAGACAAGGAACTACGTAAAAAACTTGTCAACATAGGTAACAACCTACATTTACAGTTACTATAAATAGTTATTGATATTCAGATGTTTTACTTAACATTTTTACTATAGGATATGCGTTGACGGAGGCGACATTTAATTATTACTGAGTCAAAATACGAAGATCAAATAAAGAGGCTTTGGAGTGGACAGATAACATTCTCCGAGAGAAGTGGGCAATGGCATATGACGAAGGACAACACTGAGGACACATGACAACTAACCTACCCAAAGCAATTAACTCGGTACTTAAGGCTACCCAAAACCTTCCAATCACTGCTTTGGTTTGGTCTACATATTTCCGGTTGGGATCATTGTTTGGTAAATAAGGCCATGTTTGGACAAAAAATATTGGCATCTGGTCAACCTTTCACAGATAACTGTAATAAGGGAATGACTGAAGAAGCGAGTAAATCTAGCCGTCATAATGTCACGCAATTCAATCGCGAGAGATTCTATTTTATGGTGGCCGAAAGAACTAATCAGAACGATGACCAACCATTAGGTGCTTTCAGCGTTGATCTTAGAAAAGGGTGGTGTGACTGTGGGAAATTTCAAGCATTTCATTTACCTTACTCCCATGTAATCGCATCATGTGCTAGTGTATGCCAGGACCACACTATGCACATACCATATACTTTCAAGATTCTGAATGTTTTTAAAGTCTACAAGGAAAGCTTCCTTGGACATCCACACCAGGAAAACTGGCCAACATATGAAGGATATACTCTTTGTCATGATGAGACTATGCGAAAGAAGAAGAAAGGACACCCAAATAGTACTCGAATTAGAACCGAAATGGACGATGTTAAAAAAGAGAAAAGAAGGTGTGGGATTTATCACGAAATAGGCCATATGGGTAAAAAAATGTTTAAAAGTAGTCGACTCGTATAAATGATTTTGTTTGTTTTTCTAGTTGATCATTTAGTCAAGGTTTTAGCTTTCATTTCATATCTTTGTAATTCAACATTTAGTTAATATTCAAGACAAGTTTCAGTAACAAAAAAATAATGAAACCGCACATAGAAAAACAAGACGATAAACAATAAAACGATTAAACACATCAACATGACTAGAGATTACAACCATCAAGACAATATTCGTTGATCCATACATCATCAAAACAACATCATAGTTATTTTAACAACTTTCTAGGATCGAGTTTCTTCATCTTTAACAAGCTTGTCAATTCTTCTAATCTTTTCACATTCAATAATTTCTCCATCTAACCAACTCATCAAACTTCTCTAAAAATGCTCGAATGTCACTGTGTTCCATAATCGGGCCTTTATCGGAGGCTTTATTGCCGAAAAAACAGTTGAGCATCTCTTTTGATAAGAGGAGCATTTGGATTGGTAAAATACTTCATTCTGGAAGAAATATTTCAGAGTGAAATGATGAAATAAGTGTAAATGATCTAAGAACTAGTGATTCTCACACAAAACTATTTATAGAAAATATAAGAATAATAAAATATGAGTGGGGATCAACTTACTCGAAGAGTAAGTTTTTTTTAACTTACTCTACATCATAGCGTTTAAATTGAATATAATCTAGTGGTTAAATTAACATTTTTACTTATAATCATTCGATTAAATCTAATTTAAAGGATATAATTGTGGAGTAAGTTAAAAAAACTTACGGTGGATCCTCACTCATAAAATAATCTGCTGCTCGACAAATGGATGGCCAAACATCTTCATGTGATTATTGATGTGTAATCGATAAAATTAAATTAATTAATAATATGAATAAAATATTAAAATTGTATTAATTAATAATACGAATTAAATTTTACTCATATTTTATACAATTATTTTTTTATAAAATTGTATCAATTAATAATATAAATAAAATATTAAATTTAAATTATAGTAATTAAAAAAAGCATAAAATATCAAAAAATATTAAATATTAAATATTAAATATTAAATAATATTAATTAATTAATTAAGTGTTAAATACTATTAAGAAAATATATTTGTTAAAATATCCAAATAATAAGAAAATTAAAATACGAGTTAAAATATTTTATTATAGTATAATAGTAAATCAAATATTTATTATTATTTAAAATATGAAAATCATTTTTAAAATTAAAAAATAATTTTTAAACTATTTAATCAATAAAAATTGAAAAAAAACAAATTTTTTTACTGGCTCAGCCTACTAATTTATTCGTTATCCGAACTCAATCTAAAAGTGTAATATATCTGTTTTTTTTTTTAAATTAGTGATATTTTGGTGTTTTATTTTCAATATAGTGATTGATAGGTAAAAAATTTGAAAATTTTCTTACAATTTAACCGGAGGTTATAGGCCTAAGAAAAAAACTTAGACAAATACGAACATAGGTTTTATAAATAATTAATTATAATTTTTTATTAATTAAAAAATAAAAATAAAATATTCTCTAATCGTTATTACAACCCTCTCATAATTTTAATTAAAAAAAATTCTCTTAAAAATAAGGATTTAGGTTTATGCTTTTCTATTAATAATTAGATCAATGTTTTTTGACCTACACTTATTTCACTTTCCAACTATCAATCACTCCGTCTATTTTCGTTTCTCTGCCTTCGCTGTCCTAGCATTTTGCCTTGAATGTTACGAAAGTTGATTTTCCATGAATTGATATTCTAAGAAAGACCAGGAGAAGTTTCCGCCGGTGTGGAAAATGGTTGCGTGAGAGTGCACGCTACTTTCTGACAATTAGGGTTTTGGATGCTTCGAATTCAAATGAATGGGTATCAGTTATTTAGGGTCAGTTTGAATTAATTTTGAGGTTTTGTTTTTAAAATCAGTTTTGTAAATCTATTATGCAAAACAGTTTTGGTGAAAAAAAATAGAAAAAACTCATTTGATAGTATAATTTATAAAACATGTTTTTTTAGAAATAGAACAAAATAGTTATTTTTTTAAAATTTGTTTTATTATAATTAGGGTTCAGACGGGCACATCTGTGCACGTCTATTCGTTTTTTTAATACACATAGAAATATAAACGATATTTTTTTTAAAATATAATATGTGAAAGTTAATAATAAAAAATTATGTGAAAGTTAATATAATAAGTTATGTACAAGTTAATAATAAAAAAATATTAAATAAATTATACAATAAAATAAAGGTAAAAATGATAAAAAAAATAGGTCACACCAAAACAAAATATTCTCTTTATATATTGTATAGATAAATAATAAAATAATAATTATTATTATGATATATTTTTTAGAAAAAAATATAAATAATTAGTTGGAATATATATATATATATATATATATATATATATATATATATATATATATATATATATATATATATATATATATATATATATATATATATATATATATATATATATATATATATATATATATATATAAAAGAGTATGTTATAGGTGGGTAAGAAGGTTCAATAGTTATACTCTAAGAGAATATAATGGTTTGTTTTAGTTTTTTTTTTAAAATAATTTTTATAGTGTACTAAAATTTTGTGTAAAAGAAGTTTATAAAAAAAAATTTCATAAAAGTTTTAAATTAAAATTTGATTTGAATAGATATTTTTAAAATATTATTTTAAATATATTAATATTTTATCAGAAAAATTTTTGGATATTAAAATTTTATAAAATCACTTAATTTTAAAATTATTTTTGAAATACAATTTTTTTTAAAAATTATAATTTCAACTATGTTTTAATCTTAAACAATTTTATAAAATCTATTTTTAAAAGTAAAAAAAAATTATTTATTTATAAATCTAAAACAAACAAGCTCTAAATATTATGACGGTCCTAATATATAAGAGCGAGACAAATACTAAATTTTAAATTTAAAATTCACTATTGTCTTACTATCTTATTATCTGGAAGGTTGATATGCTAATTTTGCATATTAATATCTATTTTACTGTACCGAAAACTCAAATTTATCGTAATAATTCATCTTTATCCGTCACCAATTCATTCTATTTCTTTGACGGAACAAAACATTTCACTCAAACTTTAGTAATATTTTATAATAAAATTTTAAACAATGGTAGTAGTATAATGTTCACA